TTTCTTTTTTTTTTTCAGACGGATAGGTGGAGTTTCGCTCCTTGCCCATGCTGGAGTGTAATGGTGCGGTCTTGGTTGACCACAACCTCCACCTCCTGGGTTCAAGCAATTCTCCTGCCTCAGCCTTCCGAGTAACTGTGATTACAGGCATGCACCGGCTAATTCTGTATTTTTAGCAGAGACAGAGTTTCTCCATGTTGGTCAGGCTGGTCTCGAACTCCCAACCTCAGGTGATCTGCCCCCTTGGCCTCCCAAAGTGCTGGGATTATAGGTGTGAGCCACCACGCCCAGCAAATTCTGTCATTTTCAAGAACACACAGTTCTTCAAATCACACTTTGAACTCTTGCTTTCTGAGTAATGGATTCTGAACTATTCTAAACTAGTCATTCTTTAGGCTAAGCCAAGCTGTTTCTTAACTCATTTTGGAAGGGTGGGGAGTAAACAGACATTACACATAGTTTGAAAGCATCTCAGGAAGAAACACAATTATGAAACCTTTGCCTGAGTCGCACAGGCCACTGTCCCCTTTGTGCTCTTTACATTTTTCATTGGTATCTTTCCAGTCCTAGACTGAAATCTTTTCTGCAGTAGTTCTCCATGCTTCCCTCTAGTGAGGGTAAAAAGGGACTGCAGACACCTTCTTGTGAAATTCGAGTCTGTTCTGCAAAACCCTTGCAAATACTCTTCCCCCATCCCTTCACAAATGCCCTTCCCTCCTCCTTGCCCAGCCAACTCTTGTCCTCTAAGATCTCACTGTAACTGCCATTACTGCCATTTCTTCAAAAAGCCCTTCCCTACTTTACCCGCCCCATCTAAATTACGCCTCCACTATTCTCTTCTAATATTCTATTATATTGGCCATACAGGGTGGCTCACGATTATAATCCCAGCACTTTGGGAAGCTGAGGCAGGAGAATCACTTAAGCCCATGAGTTCAAGGCCATCCTAGGCAAGATGACAAAATCCTATCTCTTAAAAAAAAAAAAAATTAGTCGGATGTGGTGGTTTGCACCTTGGTTCCAGTCATTTGGAGGACTGGGGCAGGAGGATTGTTTGAGCCCAGGAGGTCGAGGATACAGTGAGCCACGATCACGTCACTGTACTTCAGCCTGGGTGACAGAGCGAGGCCTCACCTCAAAAACAAAAAACCTATTCTATAACTTCATGGCAGTCACAATTCGTAATCATATCTTTATGTGCATTTGGTTAATTTAACATTTACCCATCCTCCATCCCCATTAAAGTGCAAGTTCCATGCAGGCAGCTTTCTGGTGTTACATCAATGTATCTAGCACCTAGAATAGCTTGACACATACAAGGTACTCCATATACATTGCTAAATGGTTAACGGCTTTTCCTTAGGATTTTCTAAAGATGGTATGTCCAATATTGAATTCTAGTTTCTCAGGCCCCAAGGTGTTCATGGTATCTTCTAAACCCAGTGCCTTATCACAGCAGTAACCACATTTTTAAGTATCTGCTCTGTCTACATCCTGTACTTGTTGTTTTAAATGTATCGCTGATCCTCACAATGGCCCTTCAAAGTGGAGATAATCACACCACTTTATAGACAAAAGACCTGAAAGTTCAGAGAGGGAAATTTAAATTCGTCCTAGTCACATGGCTAGTAAGCGGTGGCAATACCAGAATTCAAACCCAGCTTAGAGTCCAGGGTCTGTGCTCCTTCCACCCAGGCCCACTTCTCAACTAGGGTGCACAACCCGCCAGGGTCACTCCAGCAGGCCTAGGAGCATAGGATTCCACAAGACAATGTGTGGCCCATTTTTTGTATCATTTTTTCTTGATGGTAAACAACATAAAATATTTTTGTGTTAAAAAAGGCACAGAGCAGCCTGCACAAAATAGTGAGATCACATTTCTATAAAAAATAAAAAACTTGCCAGGCATAGTGGTGCACACCTATAGTCCCGGCTGAGGTGGGAAGATCACTTGAGCCTGCGAGGTCGAGGCTGCAGAGTGCCGTGACCACGCCACTGCACTCGAGCCTGGGCAACAGAGTGACACCTGCCTCAAAAAAAAAAAAGCACAGATGTATGTTAAAGTATGACATGTAATAGTACATTTAAAGGAATTTTTTTTCTTTTTTTTTTTAAATTAAGACGGGGTTTCACCATGTTGGTCAGGCTGGTCTTGAACTCCCGACCTCAGGTGATCCGCCCGCCTTGGCCTCCAAAGTGCTTGGATTACAGGCGTGAGCCACCACGTCCGGCCCATTTAAAGGAATTTTTAAAAGAAAATACAAAAGTAAAAAGAAATTTCATGCCTGTTGGCCAGGCCTGTCTCAGGAACCTCTGGAAAAACGTGAAAAGCACTTACTTGTCACTCTACCCTTCTTCATTTTATGTCTATTTTCTTTGTTGCTATATTATTTATTTATTTATTTATTTATATTATTTTTTTGAGATCGAGTGTCGCTCTGTGGCCCAGGCTGGAGTGCATTGGTGCAATCTCGGCTCACTGCAATCTTCTCCTCCTGGGTTCAAGTGATTCTCCTGCCTCAGCCTCCCAAGTAGCTGGGATGACAGACGCAAACTACCAGGCCCAATTAATTTTTTGTATTATTAGTACAGATGGGGTTTCACCACGTTGGCCAGGCTGCATGTTGCTTGAATCGCTCTAGCTCCTGACCTCAAGTGATCCACCCACCTCAGCCTCCCAAAGTGCTATGGTTATAGGCGTGAGCCACCGCACCCTGCCCCTTGTTGCCATATTAAATAACATCAGCATCACAACTAAATCTTCATTTTCCTACTCCCACCCAATTAAAATGTTTATTGAAAATGTCAGGTGTCAGCCACAGGCATGTCATTTTCAAACCCCTTAGTCATTCATAAGGACACTTTTTTGTAGGTACAATAAATCTGATTGCAATTTTTATTACACATCTTAGTTTAGAATCACTTTTACATTCCTAGACAAAGAGATGATACAAATAAATATCAATTGTAAAACTTAGAGCCCCAAGTATTGACTGGCATATTCTTTGTCTAAAGGTAGCCAAAGAGAAGGTCAAGATCAATAACAACTTCAAGGAGCCATAAAGCTCACTGCCTCCTGCCTGCCCCAGGATCACTCCTTTCATAAATAACCCAGAAGCATTTCATTCAGGAAACAAGGGCAGGCAGAAAGGTGACAGATTTCTCAACAGCACAAAACAAAGCCTTGTGTGATAGACAATCGCCAGGCCCACTATTCTTAGCCAGTTCCCTCAGAGTGTTGTTACTATGGCTTTTAGTATATTAACAGCCCCATTTTCATCCACTGATGGGGTTCAGATGGTCCAACACGCCTCAACCCCAAGTGGGAAATGAGAGGCAGAACCGACATCCATGTTAACAGGGAATCGACACTTCTCAGAAACTTGGCAACGATTCTACATTCAGTGAGGGAGGACTTGTCAGAGTCAGACAGGAAAAGCAGAGCACGGCCCCTGCCCAAGCTGCAGCACTCTGGCGCCCTTGGTCATGGAGGTGTGGGTGAGCAATTCAAGCAGCATGCAGGCATTAGACGGGAAACAACCCAGCGGTAGGTCAGTCTTAAGAAAGTGCTTCATGCCTACGATTTGGGGCCTTGGGTTCTGAATCCAGGGGACTGAGACATGGACTTTAAAATATGAAGCCAGATACATTCTCCAGATCACAGCAAAAGGGGGTCTCCTGGGGGCTGCATACACAGTCTCAAACTCCTTCTCCTGATGGTCCTCTTAGATCCTGCTAGACTTGCTTTCAGACTTCGCTAGCTGCTGCTGGCATGAAGGCCCTCGGATGGCTCAGAGCATTCTAGGTATGACTAGAGACATGAAAACCTGGTCCCTCAGTGGGCTTAGTAGGTCCTCTACCTATTTGGCTCAATGCAGAGCCCAAAGCAGCAGCTTTCTGGTGGCAGCAAGACATTCTACAATCTGCTGTATTCAAATATTTATCGGATCCATTTTGAGAGAAGAAAAGCACCAGAGACTGCTTGGAAAGGGACGGCTTCGTTTCCAAATGAGTCTTCTTTTGCCTTCTTAGAAAAGCTCTATGTGTCACTTAACCACCCTTGGTCAGAAGAGTCACCTCGAGATACCAGTATGAAGGTATAGGGTTATCTGCAGTTTTCTTTTCTTTTTTTTTTTTTTCTTTTTTTTTAGGTGGAGTCTCACTCTGTCACCAGGCTGGAGTGCAGTGGCGTGATCTTGACTCACTGCAACCTCTGCCTCTCAGGTTCAAGTGATTCTTGTGCCTCAGCCTCCCAAATACTAGGACTACAGGTGTGCACCACCACACCTAGCAAATTTTTGTATTTTTAATAGAGATGGGGTTTCACCATGTTGGCCAGGCTGGTCACAAACTCCTGACCTCAGGTGATACACCCACCTTGGCCTCCCAAAGTGCTAGGATTACAGGCATGAGCCACTATACCCAGCCAGTTATTTGCAGTTTTCAATTCTCAGATTTGCTATATAAATATTTTTAGCCTACAGAATTCAGATTAGCTTTGAGGATATGTGGTGTGAGAGACACGTGTAACTAGCAAACAACCAGCTTAGGCTATCCACCTTAGTGTTTTGCTCTTATGCAAACAGACAAATTCTCAGTAAATAAGAAGCAGGTTTGATCTCAAGAAAAGAGGAGGGAAGGCTCTATTATGCTGAAAAGGGCCCTGGGTTCAAAAAGAAGGGTTACTAAAAAGGAGATAAGCCGCTGGACAACAGATCTCCATTGTGCAGAATGCTAAGACATTGCACTTAGTACCTCCTATTTCCCATGGGTTCTGATCCAGAAATGTGCCCTGGGAACTGAGCAGCTGAGTTAAAGTATAACTCAAGGCCCACCTTAGTTGCCACTTTCCTGAGGCACCGTGCCAGCAAGGTGCACCAGTGTGGCAGACCTGGAGACTCACACTGTCCCCTCAGGCTTGGCTCATGGACTCAGACACCCACATGGGAGTGCTTCCAGCCTGGATTAGTCATTCAATGGGCCTTTAATAAAGACAAAAGGCAACAACTGCACATTAGTGTATTTCTAATATTGGGCAAGTTCTTGGTCTCTCTCTTACAGACACACATGGACACATTCACAAAACAGGCACCATCGTGTTCTCACACCCACACACACTCATGAGCTTCTCTTAGGGGAAAATGAGTAATATTCACCTAATGACCAACATAAAATGAAGCTCTGAATCTCAACAATACAGGGAACTAAAACTTACAAACCAAACTAGTATATGTAAACAGGATTCTGAACTCTCCTCTGAGCCTATTCAATCACGCAGCCACTCTTGTCAGCATCTTAGGTCTGTGCCTGGAGGGAGCCACAGTTCTAGGATTTGGTGAGTTCTGACTCTGCTGAAGGCAGGCAGGATTCCTTTGCTTCCATCTGTTATGCCTTCCCTACCCATTGCACTGAGTCTCATGTCTCCATCTCTGCGTCTGCCTAGCTACTCTTCTGCTCTCTGTATCAATATGGAACAAAACAGGGAATTCAAAAGTGCCACTATACGTCCCGTTCCCTCAACTCTAGCCCCATCAGAGAAGGCAGAACCAGCCTCCTTTCTCCCACAAAACAGGCCTACTGCAGAGCATGCTCTGGAGGCAGAGGATGGGCCCACACAAGGATGCTCAGAGTACGTGTGCATGGGAAAAGATGGTGACAAATGAAGAGTTTAAGTGACATGGTGTATGGACATGGCACCAGCTTACAGGCTTACAGACTTAGGTCTTTGACAGGATGGTCATGGTTTTGAGGTTTTAAAGAAGCTGTTTCCCTAAACACTCCAAGGAGGCAAAGGGAATGTTATTTCTATTGCTCCCAACATTGAGTCCTTCAGGAGCAGAAACTGGAAGAGATTTCCTCACTGAGCAGCTCTCAAGGGCAGATCCGCTTCTTACTGTGGTGCATGGAAGCAGGACTGCTGATGGTGCCCACCTGGGGCCTGGATCCAAATGCGATTTCTCATTTCTCCAACAAGAACAGGCACATATTCAAGTTCTAGGGCTTTCACTTTTCAACCTCACTGTCATTTTATCCTGAGGCTCTAAAGATGTGGTCCTGCTAAGGTGACTCCTGATTCTGCCCTATTGTTCAACAAGAAGGGAGCCCCACGTAAAGAACAGGCTAGAAAAGGAGAGGGGAGAGAAAGGGAGAGCAGGGGAAGGGGGAGAAGAAGGCAAGGGGGAAGGAAGCAAGGTCACTGGTCATTCTCTTGCTTTCTACTTGGACTATCGCACTGTATCTTACCCATGCATTTCTGAGATGCTAATTAAAAGATGTTTCCCAGAGGAGCTGAGTACCAGATGAGGACCAGCGCATTCCACCAGCTTAAGTTGGTTGATCTGCAAAGAGGCCATCGCTTCTCCTCAGGGGAACAGTTCTGAGTTTGGGCTGAGTCCTCTCTATAGCTTTTTGCTAGTCTTCTCTCAGAAGGCAAATGCTGTGTCCACCCTGGGAGAAGAGGAGCTGGCTTTACTTTGGAACCAGCCCCCGAGACTGTGGATAAAGCTGAGATGCAGGGGTTCCTGAGGAAGAGGAGGAGGATCCCGACTTCCTTCCACTTTTAGGCCTGCAAAAGTCAAACACATGTTTACATTACATGTCCCTATCTCTGTCCCTGACACATCAGAATTAACATTTCAAGGTGGCCTTTCTCCAATGACCTTAAAATGACAATACGTTCAACTGTAAAACCACTAGACTAGCACAGCCTGAATCTTTGGCCATGGTCAAAATGGCCTCAGAACGGAGGTGTGGAACCTGAGAGAAGAGACTCTGATGCTTAGCAATTGTTCTTCCTTTAAAACCAAAGCTTGACTGTCCTTTCCAGATTGATAAAGAAAACATTAAGTTTGTAGGTAGAATTTCTTCCATTTTGGTTTTCCACCGAATTATTTTCCTAAAACTTCTAATCTAGAATGTAATAAGACAGATTTCTACTTCTGCACCAAATAGGTGAGGTAAACTTAGCATGGAGACCCAGAGCCTGGGCTGCGGATGTGGGTTGACCCGTTTCTGAATTCTTGCTTTGGCCCTTACTTGCTGGGTTTCCTTGGAGATGGCTATTTTCTAAGTTTGGCTAATTCTCTAAGTTTAAGACGGCTAAGATGGTTAATTCTCTAAGTTTCGGTTTTCTTGTCTGTAAAATGGGACCGATTATAATATTTACCTCATACATTTTTTTTTGAGATGGAGTTTCACTCCTGTTGCCCAGGCTGGAGTGCAATGGTGCGATCTTGGCTCCCTGCAACCTCTGCCTCCTGGGTTCAAGCTGTTATCCTGCCTCAGCCTTCTGAGTAGCTGGGATTACAGGCATGAGCCACCACACCCAGCTAATATTTTTGTATTTTTAGTAGAGATGGGGTTTCTCCATGTTGGTCAGGCTGGTCACGAACTCCTGACCTTGTGGTCTGCCCGCTTTGGCCTCCCAAAGTGCTGGGATTACAGGTATGAGCCACTGCACCCAGCCTACCTTATAACGTTTTGCAGGAAATCATTAAGAGAATGTTTGTAAAGCACTTAGAACTACGGAACACCTTGTGAGAACTGAAGAACTGACTGCTACTTCACCAGAACACATTCACCTTACGGTACGGGGCTGGGGACATTCAGTATTCTGCCATTCAGTATACCTGGCATAGTGTCTCAACCATAAATATTTGTAGAATAAATAAGTAAACATAGGAGTAATATGGCAACATTTTCCAGTGTGTTCTGCAAAGTATTCCATGATAAACAAGCATTCTTGCTTTGGTTTATCCTTGTTCAAACATGTTCTGTTTAAACACACCTCATCAAAGCCACTTACCTGGCCTTGGATTTCTTATTTGCAGTGCTTTCAAAGGATGATGCATCCACCTGTATCTCATCTTCATCCTGCAGGGCCGCATCCAATGCAGCCTGGACCTTGGGGGCAATGGCCGGGCCCTCGTAGTCTCTGGTCGTCCGGCTGGGCATGTCCAGCTCTAACAGCACAATGTTTTCTGCCTGCAGAAGCAAGCCATCGGCAGCTAGATTAGCCTCCAACTGGACACAGACAATACAGGCAATCGAGGCCCCTTCCAGGAACAGAAGTGTGGATTGTTTCTTATTGAGGGCCTACCCAGAAAGAGCCTGCCTAAAAGAAGTGATGCAGTTTTACAACACTAGCCCCACCTCATTTTTTGCTTTTGCTTTCTTTCTTTTAAATAACTCAAAGCCGGGAGGAATGGCACCCAAGGAGCTAACTCATCTTAATCTTCCTAATCTTAATCTTCTTAAATTATCTCTGGCTGCTGAGAGAGACTCAGAAACATTTTAAAGATTATTTTAAAGTAAAAATCTTTCACTATAAAAATAATACAAATTCCTTATTGATACTTATAAAATACAGATGAGCAAAAAGAAAAAAATAAATAAATTGAGTGTGCTTCCACCAACCAGAGAAAAACAGTTTACATTTTGATATATTTTGTACCACATTTTGTATTCATATGTATACTTCTGGTACAAATTACTCTATAACTTAATACATTGTGTATCCTAGTTCAGCCACTTGCCATACTACCTGATGTTCAAGCAACAGGACTGACTGCATAGAGACGGGGAAGCTTAATTAGAGAAAGCAGTCAAGTGTTGGGTACAGTGCCCGGCACATGGCAAACGCTTATAAACAGAAGCTCTCAGCTGGGCATGGTCATCCCAGTGCTTTGGCAGGCCATAGCAGGAGGATCACTTGAGCCCAGGAGTTTGAGAATACAGTGAGCTGTGATTGTGCTACAGCACTCCGGTTTGGGTGTCGCAGTGAGATCCTGCCTATAAAAAAAAAAAAAAAAAATGCCAGTGCAGTGGCTCATGCCTGTAATCCCAGCACCTGAGGTCAGGAGTTCAAAAGCAGCCTAGACAACATGGTGAAACCCCATCTCTACTAAAAATACAAAAATTAGCTGAGTGTCCTGGCACGTGCCTGTAGTCCCAGCTACTAGGGAGGCTGAATCACCGGAATGGCTTGAACCCAGGAGAAGGGGGTTGCAGTGAGCAGAGACTGCACCACTGCACCCCAGCCTGGGTAACAGAGCAAAACAAGAAAAAAGAGCTTCTGTTTTTCTATTTTGGGGTCATTAAATAGTCCTCCGTGATGTCCCTTTAAATGTCTACATGACTGACACACATTTTCTGAGATGAAAGTACCTGAAGCTTTTCTGACAGGTCCATCTCCTGTGACTACACATCTGTGTTCTCACCAGTCTTCTCACAGAGTCATTTTGAAGCTCTTGTTAATACTGATTGGCCATGATGGAGAGGAGGTTTGTATTCTTCTCCTTCTCTAGTACTGACTCTTTTTTTTTTTTCAGATGGAGTCTTGCTCTGTCCCCAAGGCTGGAGTACAGTGGCACAATCTTGGCTCAATGCAACCTCTGCCTCCAGGGTTCAAGCTGTTTTCTTTCCTCAGCCTCCCAAGTAGGTGGGACTATAGGTGTGTGCCACCACACCTGGCTAATTTTTGTATTTTTAGTAGAGATGGGGTTTCATCATGTTAGCCAGGCTGGTCTCAAACTCCTGACCTCATGTGATCTGCCCACCTCAGCATCCCAAAGTGCTGGGGTTACAGATGTGAGCCACCATGCCTGGTATCTACTACTAACTTTCTAAACTTCATTCATCTTTTTATTTATTCCCATTAGTTATTATTATCATTTTTTTGAGATGGAGTTTCACTTTTGTTGCCCAGGCTGGAGTGCAATGGCATGATCTCGGCTCACTGCAACCTCCACCTCCTGGGTTTAAGCAATTCTCCTGCCTCAGCCTCCCGAGTAGCTGGGATTACAGGCACCTGCTATGATGCCCGGCTAATTTTTATATTTTTAGTAGAGATGGGGTTTCACCACATTGGCCAGGTGAACTCCTGACCCCAGGTGAACTCCTGACCTCAGGTGATCTGCCCACCTCGGCCTCCCAAAGTGCTGAGATTATAGGCATGGGCCGCTGTGCCTGGCCTATTAGTTATTATTTTTATTATATTTCCTTATTTTTTGAGACAGGGTCTCTGTCACCTAGGCTAGTGTTCAGTGGCACAATCTTGGCTCAATGCAACCTCTGCCGCCCAGGCTCAGGTAATCCTCCCACCTCAGCCTCCCAGGTAGCTGGGACTACAGGCACACACCACCACATCTGGCTAATTTTTGTATTTTTAGTAGAGTTAGGGTTTCGCCACATTGCCCAGGCTGGTCTCAGACTCCTGGGCTCAAGCAATCTGCCCACATTGGCCTTCCAAACTGCTGGGATTACAGGTGTGAGCCACTGTGCTCAGCTTATTAATTGTTATAATTGTTGTTATTGTTTTCAAGTACCTCTGGAAAGAGGGTATAAAATCCGAGTGGAATAGTATTTAAAGGTTTACACAAATCTAAACTCCAAAGAGACAAGAGAAAAACCCAAGAAGGATCTTCTTACCCTGTATCGGGGCTCTGGACGAATCATCATGGACATTCTTGCGTGCTGGCTCAGTGGTCTCTTATATCCCACGGCTGAGACTGGCCGCTTCATCATCTGCTGATTCCTGAAAATGAACTGCAGTGTTAGAGCCCTGGCTGGAGTCCTGTGGAACCAACACTGGGAAGACTCTGATAGAACCTGAAGCAAGTAACCCCCTGGACTGCAGGCTGACATAAGTGGGACAGGAGCTGATTCTCTTTTCTGCTTGAGTTGCTTTCTGATTCAGAGCATCATGCATCTTTTAAGCCAGAAGGGATTTTAATCATCGCCCAGTTCGTGGACGGCATTCACAAAGCATAGCTGTCAACACTCCCCACCTCTGCGTCCCTGCCAGGTGTCTCCTGTCCTTCCAGCAGGACCCGGACTTAGAGTGAGAATCCTTCTCAACACTGTGGGTCACAGTGACACACAAACAGCTCTGAATTGCCCTCATGTGGCCTAGCATATTTCACTTCACAGATGGGGAAACAGAAATGCAGGAACTTTGGAAAAGTCACTTGCTCACTAGTGACAAAGTCTCCCAATTCCTAAAACCACTCTCATCATCAAACTTTCACCTGGTGGATCTATGGCACCTACAAAATCAGAAATACAATGGGTTTTGAGTTTCAATGAGCCAAAATGTGTTCTTACCATACCCCTTTGTTGATCGAAGGTGTCTTGTCATCAACATTCTTTTCCTGCCCCATACTTGAAAATATACTTAAAGTTAATAGTGACTTACTCCAGTCTGGTTATAGGATGTAGTTTCCAATGATCTTCCTCTTCATCAAAGAAAGCTCTATTCATAATTTTACTTTTTTCTTCCAGAGGGATAAAGTTTTCTATGATAAGATGCCTGTAACATAACATAACATAGGTGAAAACAGATACAGAATACACATGCAGTGACGGCTATCTGGTCTCATGCATGGTGAGTAATTAGGTAAGAGTCAAGGCACACAGCAAACATTTACTCAGCAGGTACTATGGACCTAGCAGCATATACAGAGCTGAGATACAGACACAAAGACATCTGGTTCCTGCCTGCAACAAAAGGTAATGGTGCAGCTCTGTTAGGTATAACAGGCACTGAGAGTGGTCTGTCTTAGAAATATGGAGAGGTCGCTTCTGCCTGGGAAGGGGCAGGATGTGAATGGGCTGAAGAGTGAGGTGATGCCTGGGCTATACTGGAGTGAACAGATGCTACCTGAAGTATCTTTGAGAGGGTCACAGGTGCTGCTAACCAAGGTTATTAACTTCCAAAATGCCAAAAACAGAATAAATTAAGCTGCCTTACTCCAATCCCACGGCTTGTTGTTCAAGCTGGAAATTTTCCCTTTCTTACTGATCAAGATAAAAAGCAGGACGAGAGCACTGAGAATGAAGACCATTCCTATGTATAGTCTCTGCCTGATAAGTGCCCAGGAAACACATCAAACAAGGAAACTGGAACCCACTGGTTGTGTCTCTCTATGGTGATGACTGTCTCCTGTTACATCTCTGCCTTTATTCTTTTAAAGCCTCAAGACAAAACAATGCTAAGAGGAAATAACGTGGAAGGGACACAGAGAAAACAGAACAGACGTATAGGGTACTGTGAGAAACAGGCTGACTCACTGTTTACTCAAAAGATATAAAAAGAGATACAGGCTGGGCATGGTGGCTCACGCCTGTAATCCTAGCACTTCAGGAGGCCAAGGCGGGTGGATCACCTGAAGTCAGGAGTTTGAGACCAGCCTGGCCAACATGGTGAAATCCCGTTTCTATGAAAATACAAAAATTAGCCAGGTGTGGTGATGGGCACCTATAATCCTAGCTACTCGGGAGGCTGAGGCAGGAGAATTGCTTGAACTTAGAGGGCGAAGGTTGCAGTGAGCCATTGCATTCCAGCCTAGGCTAAAACTCCATCCCAAAAAAAAAATAAATAAAAAGAGATATAATAATGAAAATAGATTCCTTAGAAAAAAAATATTTTGGTGGATCCCCTGAGGTCAGGAGTTCGAGACCAGACTGATCAACACGGCAAAACTCTGTCTCTACTAAAAATACAAAAATTAGCCAGTCATGGTGGTGCGCAACCATAATCCCAGCTACTCAGGAGGCTGAGGCAAGAGAATTACTTGAACCTGGGAGGGGGAGGTTGCAGTGAGCCAAGATCATGCCACTTCACTCCACCCTGGGCAACAAAGCAATAATCTGTCTCAAAAAAAAAAAAAAAGAAAGAAGAAGAAAATGTAAAAAACATAATTTACTCACAATTTCACTATCCTGAGATAAATATTATTAATATTTTGGTATATTTTGTCCTGATATTGTTTTTCTAGAGGTACATACCTACAAAGAGGACTGACCGACACATACATTTAATTAATATTTTTGGAGACAGTCTCACTCTGTCACCCAGGATGGATGTAAAGTGGTGCGATCTCAGCATACCGCAACCTTCATCTCTCGGTTCAAGTGATTCTCGTGCCTCAGCCCCCGGAGTAACTGAAATTACAGGCATACGCCACCATGCCTGGCTAATTTTTTTTGTATTTTTAGTAGAGACAGGGTTTCACCATGTTACCCAGGCTGGTCTTAAACTCCTGAGCTCAGGCAATTTACCCACCTCAGCCTCCCAAAGTGCTGGGATTATAGGCATGAGCCACCACATGTGGCCCACATTAAATTTTAAGGGCTCTTTTCCAAATTTAAAATTTGGTCATTAAAAGAATCCCTTTGAAAAGTTCTTCTGCTGGGCGCAGTGGCTCACGCTTGTAATCCCAGCACTTTGGGAGGCCGAGGCGGGTGGATCATGAAGTCAGGAGTTCGAGACCAGCCTGACCAACATGGTGAAACCTGGTCTCTACTAAAAATACAAAAATTAGCTGCACGTGGTGGCACACGCCTGTAATCCCATCTACTCAGGAGACTGAGGCAGGAGAATTGCCTGAACCTGGGAGGCAGAGGTTGCAGTGAGCCAAGATCGTGCCACTGCACTCCAGCCTGGGCGACAGAGACTTCGTCTCCAAAAAAAAAAAAAAGAGGAAAAGTTCTTCTTTGGCCAGGCATGGTCATTTGTCACCCCACTAATGAAATCATGGATCCAGACAAAGATCACCTGTTGGCTGAAACCATTAGCTCCGCATTTCTCAAGGCAGGCTGCACATTCATATTACCTACAGAGTTTCAAAAAATATCTTGCCCAGACCTCATGAGAGATCATCAAGAGTTCTCAAAATACATTCACCAAACCAGCAGAAGCAATACCTGGAACCTATTAGAAATGAAAATTCTCAGGCCCTGCCCCAGCCTTTCTGAATCAGCCTCTGGGTGTGATACCCAGCAATCTGTGTAACAATCCCTTCAGGTAATTCTGATGCCTGCTGAAGTTTAAGGACTACTACCCTAGACCAATTAAATCAGAATCTCTGAGGTGGGGCCCAGACATCACTAATGTTTAAAACTTCTCAGTTTGTAGCCAAGGTTGGGAACCAGTGCTTTAGAGATAGCTTTTAGTTAAAACTAATAAAGGGGATAGAGATACAAGTTAATTGACACCATGGGGAAAGAGACCAACAAATCCAGAATGCAGTATATTTCTTTTTTTTTTTTGAATTGGTGTCTCCCTTGGTCGACCGGGGTGCAGTAGCATAATCTTGGTTCACTGCAGCCTTGAACTCCTGGGCTCAAGCAATCCTCCTGCCTCAGCTTCCCAAATAGCTGGAAGTGCAGGCACATGCCACCACTCCCATCTACAATGTGGGCTATTTCTACAGGCTATCTGACTCAGTCTTTTCAACAAGTCAACTATGAAAGAAAAAATATATATAAACATGTATTTTTGAGATGGAGTTTTGCTCTTGTTGCCCCGGCAGGAGTGCAGTGGCACAATCTTGGCTCATTGCAAACTCTGCCATCTAGATTTAAGCAATTCTCCTGCCTCAGCCTCCCAAGTAGCTGAGATTACAGGTGCATGCCACCACACTCAGTTAATTTTTGTATTTTTAGTAGACACAGGGTTTCACCATGTTGGCCAGGCTGCTCTTGAACTCCTGACCTCATGATTCACCTGCCTTGGCCTCCCAAAGTGCTGGGATTACAGGCGTGAGCCACCACACCTCGCTGAAAAATATTTTTTAAAATAAAAAGAATTGCCTCAGATTAAAATAAGTCTAAGAGATTTAATAATCAAATGTAACATGTAGTCCTAATATGTAGATCCTAATATGAACAAACCAAGAAAATCTAAATGTGGATTGGTTACTAGAAAATACTAAGAAACTTAATTTTTTTAGGTGTAAAATATCATCATGTAGACAAAAACCAAATATATATATATATATATATATATATATGTAAAATTTTTTTTTGAGATGGAGTCTCACTCTGTTGCCTAGGCTATAGTGCAATGGCACAATCTCAGCTCACTGCAACCTCTGCCTCCAGGGTTCAAGCAATTCTTCTGTCACAGCTCCCCCAGTAGCTGAGATTACAGGCACCCACCATCACGCCCAACTAATTTCTATTTTTTATAGAGACAGGGTTTCACCATATTGGCCAGGATGGTCTTGAACTCCTGACTTCAGGTGATCCATCCACCTTGGCCTCCCAAAGTGCTGGGATTACAGGTGTGAGCCACTGTGCCCAGCTGATGTTTTTATATACTAGTAATTAATATTCCAAAAATAAAATTAAGAAAACAATGTCATATACAAAGCACCCAAAAAACCCTTAGGTATAGATTTAACAAAAGAAGTACAAGTCTTGTACATTGAAAACTCAAAACATTCTTGAGAAAAATTAAAGAAATAATAAATAAATGGAAAGATATCTCATGTTCATGGATCTGAATACTTGATACTGTTAAGATGACAATATTGCCAAAATTGATCTACAGATTCAACACGATCAATATCAAAATCCCAGCTAGCTTTGTTTGCAGAAATTGACAAGCTAGTTTTAAAATGTAGAGGCATACCTCAGAGATACTGGGGATTTGGTTTCAGACCACTGCAATAAAATAAGTATCGTAATAAAGCACATAACACAATTTTTCCCAGTGCATATAAAAGTTATGTTTACACTATATTGTAGTCTATTAAATACTATTTTGTCTAAAAAAAGTACAGACTGTAAAAATACTTTATTGCTAAGAAATGCTTACACAGAGACATGAAGTGAGCATATGCCATTGAAAAAATGGTGCCAACAGCCAGGCATGGTGGCCCACACCTGCAATCCCAGAACTTTGGGAGGCCAAGGTGGGCAGATGACGATGTCGGGAGATTGAGACCATCCTGGCCAACATGGTGAAACTCTGTCTGTACTAAAAATATAAAAATTAGCTGGGTGTGGTGATGCATGTCTGTAGTCCCAGCTACTTGACAGGCTGAGGGAGGAGAATCGCTTGAACCTAAGAGGTGAAGGTTGCAATGAGCTGAGATCGTGCCACTGCACTCCAGCCTGGTGACAGAGCGAGGCTCCATCTAAAAAAAAAAAAAAAATGGTTCCAACAGATTTGCTCTTTGCAGGGTTTCCACAAACCTTCAGTTTGTAGAAAATGTAATATCTGTGAAGTACAATAAAGCAGAGTGCAATAAAACAAGGTATGCTTGAATATGGAAATGCAAGGGCTTAAAACACTCTTGAAAAAGAACAAGAAGCTTGGAGGACTCACATTCCCTGATTTCAAAACTTACTACAAAGCTACAGTAATTAACAGTATTAAAAGAAATAAATGCTTACATTTATGGTCAACTGCCTTTTTTTTTGAGACGGAATTTTGCTCTTGTTACCCAGGCTGGAGTGCAATGGCGCGATCTCGGCTCACCGCAACCTCCGTCTCCTGGGTTCAAGCAATTCTCCTGCCTCAGCCTCCCGAGTAGCTGGGACTACAGGCGTGCGCCACCATGCCCAGCTAATTTCTGTATTTTTTAGTAGAGACGGGGTTTCACCATGTTGACGAGGATGGTCTCGATCTGTTGACCTCGTGATCTGCCCCACTCCTTGGCCTCCCAAACTGCTGTGATGACAGGTGAGAGCCATCATGCCTGGCCGCAACTTTCAATAAGTATACCAAGACAATGAAATGGGGAGTGAAGAGCTCTTTCAACAAATGGTGCTGGGACAACTAGATATCTGCATCCAAAACACTGCACTTGAAACCCTACCTCATACCATACACAGAAATTAACTCAAATGGATCATAGACCTAAATGTAAGACCTAAAACTATAAGCCTCTTAGAAGATCTAAGACAATGAAACATACGTCCACAAAAACACTTGTACATGAATGTTCATGGCAGCATTACTCATAACACCCAAAAGTAGAAATAACTCAAATGTCTATCAAATAATGAATGGATAAATAAAATGTTATATATTTATACAATAGAATATTATTTGGCCATAAAAAATGAATAAAGTACTGATATATGCCACAACATGGAAGACTGTTGAAAACATCATACTAGCCTTGGCAACACAGCAAGACCCACCCTTATAAAAATAATTTTACAATTAGCCAGTGTGCTAGCATGCATCTGAAGTCCCAGCTACTCAGGAGGCTCAAACAGGAAAATCACTTGAACCCAGCAGGTCATGGCTGCAGTGAGCTATGATGGCGCCACTGCACTCCAGTCTGTTTCACAGAAGAAGGCTTTATCTCTAAAAAAAAACACTCAAGAAAACACATATACACACACACACACATACACACAGTGGAAGAAAGCAGTAACAAAAGGCCGCATTACTCCAGTATTATTCCATTTATGAATTTATACGAAAGGTCCAGAAAAGGCAAATCTAGATAGATACAATACCAAAAGTACAATAAACAAAAGAAAATAGAATTAAATTGGGCAACATCACAATGGAAATCTTTTGTGCTATAAGTAATACCATGAAGAAAGTTTAAAAACAACTCACAGAGGCTGGGCGTGGTGGCTCATGCCTGTAATCCTAGTACTTTGGGAGGCCGAGGTGGGTGGATCACCTGAGGTCAGGAGTTCAAAACCAGCCTCGCCATCATGGTGAAACCCCATCTTTAAAAAAAAAAACAACTCACAGAACAACAGAAAGTATCTTTGAATCATGAATCTGGCAAGGGAGTGGTATCCATAATATATTAATATAAAGAGCTCTTAAAACTTGGCTAGGTATGGTGGCTCATGCCTGTAATCCCAACACTTTGGGAGGCCAAGGCAGGTGGATCACCTGAGGTCAGGAGTTCGAGACCAGCCTGGCCAACATGGCGAAACCCTGTCTCTACTAAAAATATAAAAATCAGCTGGTCATGGTGGCACATGCCTGTGGTCCCTGATACTTGGGAGGCTGAGGCAGGAGAATCACTTGAACCCCAGAGGTGGAGGCTGCAGTGAGCTGAGTTTGCACCATTGCACTCCAGCCTGGGTGACAGAGCCAGACTCTGTCTCAATAAAAGAAAAAGAAAAAGAACTCTGAAAACTTAATTATTGGCTGGGTGTGGTGGCTCACTCCTATAATCCCAGCACTTTGGGTGGCCAAGGCGGGTCGATCACCTAAAGTCAGGAGTTCAAGTTCAAGATCAGCCTGGGCAATATGGTAAAACACCATCTCTACTAAAAATACAAATATCAGCTGGGCATGGTGGCGGGAACCTGTATCCCCGCTATTCGAGAGGCTGAGGCATGAGAATCACTTGAAACCAGCAGGTAGAGGTTGCAATAAGTCAAGATTGCACTACTGGACTCCAGCCTGGATGACAGAGCAAGACTCTGGCTCAAAACACACACAGACACAAACAAACAAACAAAAACCTTAATTATAAAAATCAACCCCATTTTTAAAATGGGCAGAGGATTTGAATAGGTATTTCTCCAAAGACACACGAATGGCCAATAAGCACATGAAAGGATGCTCAACATCATTAGTTATCAGGGAAATGCAAATCAAAACCATAATGAAGTACCACTTCACATCCATTAGGATGTCTATAACAAAAAAGACAGGCTATAACAAGTATTGACAAGGATGTGGAGAGGCTGGCACGGTGGCTCACACCTGTAATCCCAGCACTTTGGGAGGTTGAGGCAGGTGGATCACGAGGTCAAGAGAACGAGACTATCCTGGCCAAGATGGTGAAACCTTGTCTCTACTAAAAACACAAAAATTAGCTGGGCGTGGTGGTGCACACCTGTAGTCTCAGCTACTTGGGAGGCTGAGGCAGAAGAATCACTTGAACCCAGGAGGTGGAAGTTGCAGTGAGCAGAGATTGCACCACGGCACTCCAGCCTGGCAACAGAGCAAGACTTCATCTCAAAAAAAAAGAAAAAAAAAAGAGCCAGGAGTGTGGGTGCAGTGGCTAATGCCTGTAATCCCAGCACTTTGGAAGGCCAAAGCAGGCAGACCACAAGGTTAGGAGTTCAAGACCAGCCTAGCCAACATGGTGAAACCCTGTCTCTACTAAAAATACAAAAAAATTAGCTGGGTGTGGTGGCGGGTGCCTGTAATCTCAACTACTTGGGAGGCTGAGGCAGGAGAATCGCTTGAAACTGGAAGGCAGAGGTTGCAATGAGCTGAGATCACACCACTGCACTCCAGCTTGGGCAAAAGAGCAAAACTCTGTCTCAAAAAAAACAAAAAACAAACAAACAAAAAGAAGTATTATCCATTATAGCTGAAGACTAGAAATAATCTGAAAGTGTATAAACTGAAAAATAAATAAATATGTGGCCTATTCATACAGTGGAATATTATTCAGTCATAATAAAGAACAAGTGATGTTGGGACTACCAGATATCTGCTGCATGATCCATGAAAGCATCATGCTAAGCAAAAGGTGCCAGGCACAAAAGGCCACATAGTGTATGATTCCATTTATATGAGATGGCCAGAATAGGCAAATCCATTGAGACAGGAAGCAGATAAGAGATTACTTTGGGCTGGGAAAGTGGGTAATGAAGAGTGACTGTTAGTTAACTGGTAGAGTTTCTTTTGGAGGAGGGTGATAAAAATGTTCTAAAATTAGATTGTAGTGGTAGTTTCACAGTCCCATGCATGCATGTATATATATACACTGATTGTGTACTTTATCATTTATAAATTTTTAAATTTTTATTTTTGAGACAAAAATCTCGCTCTCTCACCCAGATGGAGCAAAGCGGTGTGATCTCAGCTCACTGCAACCTCCACTTCCCAGGTTCAAGTGATTCTACTGCCTCAGCCCCCGAGTAGCTAGGATTGCAGGTGGGCACCACCACACCCAGCTAATTTTTGTATTTTTTGTAGAGACAGGATTTTACCATGTTAGCTAGGCTGGTCATGAACTCCTGGTCTCAGGTGATCCACTCACCTAGGCCTCCCAAAGTGCTGGGATTACAGGTATGAGCCACCATGCCTGGCCTGATTTGTACACTTTAAATATGTGAAATGCATGGTATGTGAAGTATGTCTCAACTAAGCTGTTTTAAAAACAGCATTGTGGGCTGGGTGTGGGGGCTCAAATTTATAATCCCAGCACTTTGGGAGGAAACAGGAGGATCACCTGAGCCCAGGAGTTTGAGATCAGCTTAGGCAACAGAGAAAGACCCCATCTCTATAAATTTTTTTTTAAATTAGCTGGGCATAATGGCACACACCTGTAGTCCCAGCAACCTGGGAGGCTGAGGTGGGAGCATTGTTTGAGCCCACGAGTTAGAGGCTGCAGCGAACTGTGATTGTGCCACTGTACTCCAGCCTGGGTGACAGAGCGAGATTCTGTCTCAAAAAAAACCCACTGTGATCATATATGTAAGTATGTAGGAATGAGATAACATGAGGTAAGATTTGCTTTAAAATATTTTTATAAAAGATAGATGGTAAAAGCATGTTAATCCTTGAATCTGGGTGATGGGTACTTGGGTATTCATTATACCATTCAGAAAACTGTCATAATAAAAAGTCAAGTTAATAAAAGATTCCCTCTTATCATCAGACAGATGTAAGACCAGAATCTTTAAAAGCTTTGAGAAGGCAGGGTTGGAAGAGAACTTGGAGATCACCTGTGAAGTCATTTGGTTAACAGATGGGATCCAGAGATGGAAAGTGACTTTCTCAGGAATGAACAGAAGATGGGGTGGCAGGCGATAAGCTGGAGAAGGGCCCTGTCCTCAGGGCTGTTTCTATTCTTTTTCTTTTTTTTTTTTTTTTTGGAGATGAGATGTAAGTCTTGCTCTGTTGCCTAGGCTGGAGTGCAGTGGCACGATAACGGCTCACTGCAATCTCTGCCTCTTGGGTTCAAGTGATTCTCCTATCTCAGCTTCCCGAGGGACTACAAGCATTTGCCACCACATTCAGCTAATTTTTATATTTCTTAGTAGAGATGGGGTTTCACCATGTCGGCCAGGCTGGTCTTGAACTCCTGACCTCAGGTGATCTTCCCGCCTGGGCTTCCCAAAGTGCTGAGATTACAGGTGTGAGCCACCACACCCAGCCAGGGCTGCTTCTAACTAAACAAACAAGACCAATGACTCAGCTAGTGGCTTGGGGGCACCTTGGAAGGTCTGGCACTTACTTGAGTTTCAGCTCCCTGGTGAGCTCATTCTGAGTCTGCTCTAGCTCTTGGCGCTCCTTGATGTGTTCTTCTTGGAGGTCGTGGATCTCAGCCTTCACTGCCTGAAGCTTGGAGAAGAGCTGGAACGAGGGGAGAGGCAGGTGAGGAGGGAGCATAGCGTTCTCCCTTTCCCTAAATCTCAAGGCACCTCCATCTGGCCTCATTCCTTTCATACCTTTTTGAGTTTTTTGGTCTTGATGTCCACCTCTTGCTGCAATGAGCTGTATGTCTCTTTAAGTTCCAAGGTCTCCTCATCTCGACTTTCCATCTGTTGCTGGATTTCTCTTTCTCGACGTTTCTGAGCAACATGACAAAATTCATCAGCTTGCTCTTAGAGACTGTGTCTATGCTGGGTTCCCCAACCTAGGACCAGAGTCTCCAGCTAGGATGAGGCATATACACCTTGCTCATTCTCTTTGAAGAGAGTCTAATATGAGAGAAGTTTGCTCTACAGCATAAATACACTCTACCCCATCCCATTCTCCCTGAAAAAGAATGAAAAGTTACCTGCTCTGCAATTTCCTGTCGTTTCTGCTCCAGGATTTTCTGCTGTTCATTCGTATGATCTACTATGTTTTTTCCTCCAACAAGCAACTTACTCTCCATAGCCTGAGTGAGAAACAAAGTAGAATCCATCTCGTGAATGGTTTCCCTCAGAACATAACTCCTCACAGGGGAGCCTGTGAAAGATAAAGACCTCAGGACTGAGCCAAAAGGGACAAACTCTGGGAAAAAATACACTATGCTCAGCTGTACCCATCCATCACTGGTGAGGGGCTGCGGCAGCTTCACTAGAGGCTTCTTGGTAACACTGAAAATACAGCTTCTCCAGACACATGAATTTCAGCTTTAACAAAAAAATCTTTTGCTGGTTTCTACAAAGTATTAACCCCACTTAGAACATATTAAGCAGCTCCTTTATGTTATGTCCTAGAGATGCAATGTGAACATGAATCATAAAGCTCACAATCCACTGAGGAACAGACAAGCAAGCAGGCTTTAACCATATGGCCCCAGATGCCATCATGAGGAAAAGACAGTCATTAATGGGAGAGGCACACTGGTGGGACAGAATTCAGACTTTGTGGGACTTTAAAAAATTTTTTAAAGACAGGGTCTAGTTCTGTGTTGCCATATGAGTTAGAGGCTCACACCTGCAACCCTGGCACTTTGGGAGACTAAGGTGGGAGGACTGCTTGAGTCCAGAAGGTCAAGACCAGCCTGGGCAACACAGTGAGACTTTGTCTCTACAAAAAAACAAAATTAGCTGGACATGGTGGTGTGGGCCTATAGTCCTAGATACTCAGAGGCTGAGGTAGAAAGATTGCTTGAGCCTGGGAGGTCAAGGCTGCAGTGAGCCAAGACTGCACCACTGCACTCCAACCTGGGTGACAGAGTGAAACCCTATCTCAAAACAAAACAAAACAGAACAAAATATGGGTACAGCCACTCACACAGTGCAAGTGCAGCAGTGAGGAGGCTTTGACATAATGGCGTCTCAGAGCCCCTCCCTGGAACAAAGTTATCTGCTGTGTTGTATATGACTGCATTTCACATTAGGTCTTAAAAGTCCTGGAAGGGACTTCCAAGGTTTTAAGAACCCTGCCTCTGAAGTAAAATAGCACCCAGCTCTGTGAAAGGGCTACTAATGAAGCCACTGATTATAGAAAACACTACAGCTTCATATAGTGGGGGTAGGAGGGAGGCAAAGAGAACTTATAACTTTAAAATCTGTAAATACGGAGACATTTTAGGATAGAAATCAAAGTTTACATGAATTCAATAAAACAGAACTCAACACTTCCAAGGAATTCTGGCTTGCGGTTGGCCTGCGGCCATCCTCAGACCTCCAAGTCTCCCTTTGCACTCTCCTCTGCCATTAAAGCCCAGTGGAGCCCAGAGTCCAGGCACCTGCAGGCACAGTGCATTGCCACCAGAAAGAAGACTCAAAACAATGGTAGCCTACACACTCGCGAATGCTAATAGCCATTGGGTGGAAAATGGAGTCGATGTAAGGAAATATATTAGCACCCAGGGGTTGGGAGAGGAGGCTGACGACAAGAAAGTAGCGTGAGGACATTTTTGGGGGGATGGAAGTGTTCTGTATCTTGTGTGATCAGGGTACTGCACACTGAAACTGCACTGAGAGGCTATTCTACATGCAAACATTAGTCTGATCATCACAAGTGCTGGGAAGGATGAGGGGCAGCCAGAACTCATATCCTGCTGGTAGATGCTTCAATCTGCACGACCACTTGAGAAAACTTGTCCTTGTCTAGAGAAGTTGAAGCTGCAAATACCCTAAGACCTAACAGTGCCAGACAAGACAATCATGCACGTCCATGTCTCCTGAAGCCAAGCACAAGAGCATTCACAGCAGGAACTGGAAACCCGTATATCAGGAGGATGGAATACCATGGAATCCTTGTAACAGTAATAATGAATGAACCACAGCTTCAGGCATCAACGTGGATAAATCTCATGAACATAATGTTGCACAAATAAAGGCAAATGGCATGAGTGGGATTCCATTTATATAAAAGCAAAAAATTATGTGAAACGAAACCATGTTTTCTTTAGAGATATATGTGTACAAGCTAAAACTATAAGAAAAAAACAAGGAAACAACAACCACTGAACTCAGGATGATGGTTCTCTCTGGGGAAGAGGAACACAATGAGCTACTAAAAATATGCGTGTCAGCTGGGTTCGGTGCCTCTGGCCTGGAATCCCAGCACTTTGGGAGGCTGAGATGGGAAAATCATTGAATCAGTTGAGCCCAGGAGTTCGCGAAGAGCCTGGACAACATAGTGAGACTGCATCTCTACAAAAAATTTTAAAAATTTAGCCAGGCGAAGTTGCATGCCTATAGTCCTAGCTACTTGGGAGGCTGAGGTAGGAGGATGAGGGTCTGAGCTTGGGAGCTTGAGGCTGCAGTGATTGGGCCGCTGCACTCCAGCCTGGTTGACAGAGTAAGACTCTGTTTCCAAAAAGAAAAAAAAGCAAGAAAGAAAAAAGAAAAAAAAAAAAAGCCAGACATAGAGGCTCATGTCTGTGATCCCAGCACTTGGGGATGCCGAGACAGACAGATTACCTGAGGTCAGGAGTTTGAGACCAGCCAGGCCAACAAGGTGAAACCCTGGCTCTACCAAAAATGCAAAAATTAACCCAGTGTGGTTGCAGGCACCTGTAATCCTAGGTACTTGGGAGGCTGAGGCAGGAGAATCACTTGAACCCAGGAGGCGGACGTTGCAGTGAGCCGAGATCACACCATTGTACGCCAGCCTGGGCGACAAGAATGAAAATCCATCTCAAAAATAAAAAAAGGATGTTGTTCTATTTCTTACACTGGGTGGGGGGTACATGGGTGTTACTTTCATTGCTGTTCTTTACACTATGTGCATATGTAACAGTCTCATTATTAATTCCATTTTCATTTTTGTAAATGTGAAAAAATCATATTCATGTCAATTAAACAGACGTTTATTGAGTACTGGATATCAAGGGCCTAAGGAAGGGTATGACTGTGGTACCTTGATCTTGGCGCCCAGCATCTCGGCAGCATCCTTCTCCCGCCGCAGGTCCTCCATCTTCTTCTCCTTCTCCTTCAGTAGCCTCATCTTCTCCTCTGCAACCAAGCTGTGATCCTCTACAATGGCCCGTTTCTCAATCTCCAGTTTTTCTTGCTGTTCCCGCCAGTAATCATCCTTATCATCCCCTTCCTCCTCACCCTCTTCTCCCTCCTCCTCCTCCTCTTCCCCACCCCCACCACTGCCACCACCTTCCCTCCGCTTCTCTCGCCTCCTCCTCCTGCCTATGGACCGTTTTTCCAGCTGGGCCTTGAGCCGAGCAATTTCTTCCTGGAATTCTCGAAGGAGGGCATCCTTGGGGTCCTCATTGACCCTTGGTTTGTTCTTAATGTTTTTGGCACGGTTGGCATATCGCAGAGTGGTCAGAGTCTCTTCTACATTGTAAGAGGCAGGCCCCACATTGGCCACCATCACAGTCTTAGCATTGCCACCAAGGGAATCTTGGAGGAGCCTGGTAAGCTTTGAGTCCCGATATGGAATGTGAGTGCTTTTGCCGTCCACCAGAGCAGAGATGACGTTACCCAAAGCGGAAAGGGAGAGGTTGATCTTGGTAGCTTCTTTTAATCTTTCCCCTTGTGCGCCAGTCTTGGCTTGCCGTTCGCTGCCAGCAAGATCTACAAGGTTCAATTTCCCTACACGGATGTGGTTTTCACCATCGAGGCCCACCTCACTGCACTCAATAGTGATAACGAAAATTGCATGGGAACGCGAGCTATGCTCGTTCATGTTGGTAGCACCGACAGAACGGTTCTGGTTCCCCACATTCATCACGTGCTCTATCTCCTTCACACTCTTGGTGACAAAGGAAGACAGGTCTTTCACATACACTCCTGTGTCAGGCCTCTCTTTGAGCTCAAGCCTTTTGGTCTGATCCTTTGAGAGCAGATCTCGGATCTCCTCCTGGTAGATCTCTAAGTAAGAAGCCCTGACCAGGTACTGTTGATTCTGGGATCGAGAGATGTGGGTGAAGATATGGTCAAATGAGTTGGGAATGACTCCTCGTTTTTCCGGGTCACCACGGATTCCTTCCATTGTGTAGGTTTTTCCCGTCCCAGTTTGTCCATAGGCAAAAATGGTTCCATTGAAACCTTGCAGGACGGAGTCAACAAGTGGTCGGAATGTCTCATCATACAGTTCAAACTGCTTGGCATTCCAGTCATAGACTGCGTCAAAGGTGAAGGTCTTGGGCATTTCATGGGCCGTCCCTTTGGGGTTCTTCACAGACACCTGCCCCAGTTTAACATCCACATCCACCACTTTGTCATATGAAGCAGCCTTTTCCTTGCCATTCATGGGCCGACAGCGAACCACCACCCTGACCGACTCTGAGCTTTTCAACTTTGACATGATGAACTCTGACCCAGTCAATCTTGAGAGGTGTCAATTCAAAATGTATCAGAATGCTAAGGACCTAGAAAAAAAAGCAAAAGTAAATAAGCACAGTATTGTTGTTATTGGGGGCTGCCTGACAGAAGCTAACACACCTAAATAATCTTCACCTTGGTAACCTGACAGCAATATCTGGTAACATTACTACATTGCATATTTCCTCACAGGAATTAACCAGCTTCAGTGGTAAAAATAAAAAACTGTATTCCACCAGTACGGAAGGGTATGGGTACAGGCCACTGTGGACTCTAGCCCATCCTCTTCTCAATCAATATTTGATCTTATGCTATAGGCTGAGGCAGCTGAAATCTTTTAAAAGTCTGGGTCTTACTCTGGGAGGTCGAGGCAGGAGTTTGCTGAGGCCAGGAGTTTGAGACCAGCCTGGGTAACTAAGTAAGACCCTGTATCCAAAAATTTTTTTAATTAGGCTGTATGCAGTAGCTCACATCTGTAATTCCAGCATTTTGGGAGGATGAAGTCAGAAGATCACTTGAGTACAGGTTGAGACCAGCCTGGGCAACATAGTGAGCCCCAATCTCTATCAAAAAAAAAAAAGTCAATTAGCTGGGCACAGTGGTTCATGCCTTAGCTACTTGAAAAGCTGAGATGGGAGGACTGCTTCAGCCCAGGAGGTTGAGGGTATAGTCAGCTGTGATCACACCACTGCACTTCAGCCTGGATGACAGACTGAGATGCTATCTCAAAAATAAATAAAATAAAAATAATGACCAGCCTCGGTTGCTTACACCTGTAATTCCAGCACTTTGGGAGGACAAGGTGGACGGATCACTTGTGGCCAGGAGTTTGAGACCAGCCTGGCCAATGTGGTTAAACCCTATCTCTACAAAAAATACAAAAATTAGCTGGGCGTGGGGGCAGGTGCCTGTAATCCCAGGTATTCGGGAGGCTGAGGCACACACAAGAATCGCTTGAGCCTGGGAGGCAGAAGTTGCAGAGAGCCAAGACTGTACCACTGTACTCCAGCCTGGACAACAGAGCAAGACTCTGTTTCAAAATAAATAAAGTAAAATTAAAAAAAAAAAATTAGCCAGGGGTGGTAATGTGTGCCTGTACTCCTAGCTAATCAGGAAGCTGAGGCAGAAGGATTGCTTGAGCCCAGGGGTTCAAGGCTGCAGTGAGCTATGATTGTGTCACTGCACTCCATCCTACACAACAGAATGAAATCAAGTCTTATATTCTGTTGAGTTTCTATAGCCTGTTGAACTACCCCAACCTCTGGGTAGAGCAATTTGGAACTATCTATCAATATTTAGAATGTATATAACTTTTGATCTAGCAATTGTATTTCTAAGAATTTATCCTGAAGATACATATCTTAAACAATGACATATATACAAGGATATCTGTTGCAGTAGCAACAGATTGTGGGCAACCCTGATTCCCATCAAGAGAAGGCTGATTAAATTAAATATATTTAATATATGTGGAATCCTATGCAGTTATTAAAAAGAATGTGGTGCCTAAGGAGGGGTGAACTGGCCCAGGTCAGAAACGGAGCAAGTCAGAACTCCCGAGCTGATCAGGAGTGGGATTGCACCTGTGAATAGCCACTGCACTCCAGCCTGGGCAACATAGTGAAACCCCATCCTTTTTTTGGAGACAGAGTCTTGCTCTGTGGCCAGGCACTAGGCTGGAGTACAGTGGCCTGATCTCGGCTCACTGCAACCTCTGCCTCCCGAGTTCAAGCAATTCTCCTGCCTCAGCCTCTGGGGTAGCTAGGACTACAGGCGCACGCCACCACACCCAGCTAATTTTTTTGTACTTTTAGTAGAGACGGGGTTTCACCATGTTGGCCAGGATGGTCTTGATCTCTTGACCTCGTGATCCACCCACCTCAGCCTCCCAAAGTGCTGGGATTACGGGCTTGAGCCACTGTGCCTGGCACCCCCCGTCTCTTAAAAAAAAAAAGATCATATATATACATTAAATAAAAAAAAGAATGTGGTAATCGAAATCTAAATGTAATCCTATACTGAGATATGTTGTTAAGTGAAAAAAAGTAGGAGATAGTGTGTACAGTATAGTTTACATGGTATGAAAAATGCAAGCTAAAACACCAAGAATAAGCCTTAACACAAATTACACACTTGGGTGATAATGTGTCAATGTAGGTCTGTTACTTGTAACAAACGTACGGTACGACTCTGGTAGGAGATGTCCATAATGGGGGAGGCTCTGCATGTGTGGTGGCAGAGGTATATGGGAAATCTGTCTACCTTCTCCTTAATTTTGCTGTGAACCTAAAACTGCTCTAAAAAGAAACTCTATTTAAAAAACAAACATTACATACAAAAAGGGGGGATATCTACCCAGATTTCAGAGAAAAAAAAAGGGGGGGATATATGCATGCTAGATGCTTGATATGAATACAATATTGTTAGAAATATACGTCTAAAGGTAGTAACCTTAGCAGGGGAACTGTGGGCCTAGGAGACTCAGAAGCCTAGAGAAAGAGGAAAAACCTTTCACTGCATACTCATTCATAGTGTTTGAATTTCCTAGCTTGTGCTGATGATACTTTTCAATCCCACAGTCATCAATAAAAACTGGCTTGTGCAAAATGTGTGCAAATAAATAAGGATATGGTATAATACATTACATAAAAAGCACTCATTCAATCAATAATTTTTTTTTTTTTAAGATGGAATCTCACTCTTATTGCCCAGGCTGGAGTGCAATGGAGTGATCTCAGCTCACTGCAACCTCCGCCTCCCAAATTCAAGCAAATTTCCTGCCTCAGCCTCCCAAGTAGCTGGGATTACAGGCGCCTGCCACCAGGGTCTACTAAAAATACAAAATCAATCAATAAATTTAATAGAATTGGAATGCAAATAAGAAAATCGAGCCAGGTTGTGGTGGCTCACACCTGTAATCCCAGCACTTTGGGAGGCCAAGGCCAGTGGATCACCTGAGGTCAGGAGTTTGAGACCAGCCTGGCCAACATGGTGAAACCCCATCTCTACTAAAAAAAAATACAAAAATTTAGCCAGGCGTGGTGGCATGTAATTCCAGCTACTTGGGAGGCTGAGGCAGGAGAATTGTTTGAACCTTGGAGACAGAGGCTGCAGTGAACTGAGATCATTTTATTGCACTCTAGCTTGGGTGACAGAGCAAGACTCCATCTCAAAAAAAAAAAAAAAAAGAAGGGAGGTGTTAAAATTTTATAAAGTAAAAACAAAAAAAAAAAAAGAGAGAATTTCATTTGGTGCTTGGAAACTCAAGGAGCAGAAGAAAGGATTAAATGGGTCCTTTGAGTGGGGGTAGGTAGTAACCAGGTCAGAGTGCTTTACCGGTATATATGAAGACCCAAAACTCCGAAAAATCTCAGTGCAGGGATTTTTTTTTTCTTTTTAAAAGACAGTCTCACTTTGTCACCTAGGCTGAAGTGCAGTGGCATGATGATAGCTCACTGCAGCCTTGACCTCCCAGGCTAAAGCAATATCCTGCCACCTTGGCCTCCCAAGTAGCTGGGTCTGTGGAAATACTTTGTAAACTAATATAAAGCTGGATTAAAATAACAATACAGATTCATCCAAAACCCTTGTCAAGGGGTCATTCCAGAGATTAAGGATGAGTCCTAATTTTATGCATTAAACATCACTAGAATAAAATTTCTTTCTTTCTTTCTTTTTTTTCAGAGACTGAGTTTTGCACTTGTCACCAAGGCTGGAGTGCAATGGTGCAATCTCAGCTCACTGCAACCTCTGCCTCCCGGGTCTAAGTGATTCTCCCACCTCAGCCTCCCAAGTAGCTGGGATTACAGGTGCCTGCCACCATGCCAGGCTAATTTTTGTATTTTTAGTAAAGAGGGGGTTTCACCATGTTGGCCAGGCTGGTCTCAAACTTCTGGCCTCAGATGATCTGCCCGCCTTGGGCTCCCAAAGTACTGGAATTACCGGTGTGAGCCAGTATACCCAGCCTAAAATGACGTTTCTTTTTTTTTTAATGGAATCTCGCTCTGTTACCCAGGTGGGATCTTGGCTTACTGCAACCTCTGTCTCCCAGGTTCAAGCAATTCTCCTGACTGAGCCTCCCAAGTAGCTGGGATTACAGGTGCTTGCCACTACACTCAGCTAATTCTTGCATTTTTAGTAGAGATGGGGGGCGGTGAGTTTCACCATGATGGCCAGGCTGGTCTCGAACTCCTGACCTCGGGCAATCCGCCCTCCTCAGCCTCCCAAAGTGCTGGCATTACAGGCATGAGCCACCGGGCCCAGCCTAAAATCACATTTCTATTGTTCAATCTGTAACAATTATCCTAAATTGAGATCTAAATACCTAATTGATATTCAATAAGAACTAAATCTCAAGCCATGTAAAGAAAACTATGCAAAAGGAGGCCCTTCAGGAATGTATTCATTATCTTCTAGTTCGGAGTGTCCAATCTTTTGGCTTCCCTGGGCCATACTGGAAGAAGAATTGTCTTGAGCCACACATAAAATACACTAACACTAACACTAGTTAATGAGCTAAAAAAAAAATCTCTTGTTTAAAGAAAGTTTACGAATTTGTGTTCGGCCACATTCAAAGCTGTCCCAGGTCATGGGTTAGACAAGCTTCTTCTAGATGCTATTAGAATTTTGCCAGTTAGGAAGAAAGAGCCATGTGTTAGAATGGCCAGTTTACTGCGTCATTTCAGGAGACTGGCTCTTGAGCTACGGCCTGTCTCTCCCTGCATTTCAACAGAGGCCTGCCAAAGCTGATCTAGGTGCAAAGGGAAAATCCCAGCCCCTGAGCCTCCTCTGGGAAGACCTCTGCTGCAGTGCACAAGCCTGCCAGACAAGATCCTAGACCTGAAAGAGTAAGAGAAACGGAATAGCAGGGTGGGGCGGGGAGACAGTTCAGTGCAGAGGACTGATTCTTCTGCATTACAGACTTTTGAGAAGGCAGAGCGGTCCAACTTTTACCTATCAAAACAACGGGGCTCCAAGCCTGTGAAAGAAAGAAAAGAAAGCAAGCAAGCCTGCAGCAAGCTGACCTTGAGGTTCGGCTGCTTTGTAA